CCACGACCGACAACGACTACAAGCACGACCGAGGTACCGGAGCGAAGCACGTACGCGACCATCTTGGACACCGGAGCAACGAAACACCGACCGACTGACCGTAGGCTACGAAAACGACCGAGGTACCGGAGCGGAGCACATGAACGCACTGAAGAAGGGCCTGACTACCACGACCCACATGTAGCATTCGCACGGCTAAATGTTGAATTCCAAGACGACGACAACTGATATCGACACGCCGTTTGCACGTACTACAAGCCAGAAGCTGCGCCCGTCGACAGCTGTCGGTCGCTCCAGACTGCTTCGAGCTGGGACCGACTCCCTTGTCCACCGAAACTACGACACGGTTGGCGCTCTAATGGTCGGCGGTCGACGCGCATGGCGCTCGACGCAGAGTCGGGTGGTGGCTTGGCTGCTACGCCAGTCACCGAGTAGATGCAGGCCACATACCACGCATCGGGAAGAGGACGCCGAGCTTAATGGCGCATAGTTGGTAGTCGCCGAGGAAGACCCGGCCTAAGGTGATGAACTTAGCGCGGCAAGAGAGGGATTCGTCATTAGGTTATCGTCTTGGGGACTACGTTGCAAATCTCCGACTGCAGAGAAAAAGCCACGCCAGGGATGCAGCGTGTTCTGATTGGTGAAAATGTCCCGTATCTATTTCCACCAATCGAACGCGCCGACTATATTTTCTCGCCTTCAGATTGGCCTTTGAAAGCTTGGGACAAGTTGCCGTTGCGAGAACCATTGCCCATCGCTTTGATGCGCGATTGGTCGAGAATTTCTGGCCTTCTCGATTGTAACCGGTTCAAGAGCCGTAAGGTTAGCCGGTAGCCGGTAGCCGGTTCTGCCAACTGGTATTGATAAGATCTGACTGCCTGCCAGCATGAGCGACGCAGGCGATGCGAAGGCGAAGCGCTGGTTCCCGCTCGAGTCGAACCCGCAGGTCATGAACGAGTACGCCAAGCGCATGGGCCTTCCTGCGGACTCAGCCTTTGAGTTCTGCGACGTCTACAGCACCGAAGACTGGGCCCTCGACATGGTGCTCCGCCCCGTCCTCGCCGTCATCATGCTCTTCCCGATCAAGACGCATGTACGTGGGTATGTAGCATGGCGCGGTTCATCATGGCTTCGTTAGACAGAGGCGTACGCCAAGGAGGAGCGGCAGCGCATCGAAGTGTCGGGCCAAGTCGTGTCGCCCAACGTCTACTACATGAAGCAAACCGTCGGTACGCGACTCCTCAATGTGGATCCCGGTTCCTAACGCGACGTAGGCAACGCCTGTGGCACTGTCGGCATCTTGCACGCGCTTGGCAACGTGGGCGACTACGTGGCCTACCGTACGTCTGTCGGCGGTCTCGACATTGCCCTCGAGTGTCCCTCTAGAACCGGGCAGCTTCTTGCAGACGTTCTTTGAAAAGACGCGCACCAAGACGCCTGACGAGATTGCTGTGATTCTCGAGGGCGACGACGAGGTAGTACATGTGCAATGACCGTTGTCCTATCGCGAGAATGCCCATATTGCCGAGTAGCTCGAAGAGACACATGCGTCAGCAGCCCAGGAAGGGCAATCCGAGGTACATGCACCTCTGCTCGCATCATTGTCGACCCCCTTTGCCCATATGTCGTAGCAACTGGAACACGTGGACGACCCGATCAACACGCACTTTGTGTGTTTTTGGTAATCGCCACGTCACGTGTATGTGGCGTTGACATGCCGACTAGCACGGTGGACGGCCATCTCTACGAGCTCGACGGGCGCAAGGCCTTTGCGATCAACCACGGCCCGTCATCGCGCGAGACGCTTCTCGAGGTAGCTTGGCACTTGCTCTATGGTTCCTCATGTTGCTCGGCTCAGGATGCGTGCCGCGTGATCCAGTCGTTCATGCAGCGCGATGCTGGCGAGGTGCGCTTCACGATCGTCGCCCTTGCGTCCAAGTCCCACGACTAAGATGGACGCCGTATCATGATGCCGGAGAAGAATTTGCCGACGACGAACTTGTATTTCGCGTCTAATAAATTACGAGCCGAAGCAGGAGGTTGCCGACGTCGCCAACGTAGACGGCACCAGATCCGTTGACGACCAGCGAGACGGGGTTGCCAAACGATCCGTTGAGACCGTCGGCGTTACCGTAGAGGCCATTGCCAAACACATTGCGTTGCGTGCCATTGAGGTCGAACGTCTCGACCGTATTCGAGTACGTGTCGACAACGTAGAGCGTCGTGTTGACGAGGAAGATACCGGAGGGCGCCATGAAGCTCGTGACGTTGCCGCCACCGCTCGTGGGGTAAAAGCCGGTCGCGAGGAGCGTCGCGACGTTGGTTGTGGCGATTTCGATGCGGCGGATCGCGTGGTTGTAGTAGTCGCACACGTACAGATACTTGGCGAGCGCATCGACAGCCATGGATCGAATGCCGTTGAAGCGCGCGCCGGCCCCGTTACCGTCGGCGTACCCCCGCAGCATGTTGCCAGCGAGCACAAACGTGCTGCCATCCGTCTGGATCTACATGCGCTGTCAGACTATGACAGTACACAAGTCGTCGACGTACGACTTGGATGAATGTGCCGTAGCCAACATAGACCACCCCATGGAGGTCGACAGCGACCGAGATCGGAGCATTTGCGAGCGCCGCGTCCATGTTGTCGTCAAACCCGCCGGCTACAACCCCACCGGACAAGGATTCGCTGAGGAGGGTCGTGACGAGGCCGTTCGCGATCTTGCGTACATCCAAGCTGTCCCGGTCCGCGACGTACACCGAGCCAAAGCGATCGACGGCGATACCGCACGGGTATCGGAATTGCGCGGTGGCGATAGGGCCGTTCACCTCTCTAGTGCATGGATCAGACGAGAGCTCCTGAGATTGCGTAACGAACCCGTAGTCGCCCGTGCCAGCCAAGACATGCAGCGTCGTGTCGTTCAGCACGTAGATCTGGTTGGTCGCAGCGCTGGCGATATAGATAATGCCGTCGGGGTCAATGGCCATGGCGACGGCTTTGATGCCGCTGAGCAGCGTCACGATAAAGGGCTGGCCCCCGGCGCAACACACGGGCGACGGTGAATTCGTGTTGCCAAACACAAAGATGAGCACGATGCCGGCCACGATGCACGTCGCGAGGAGTAGGAGCAAGCATTGCCGCGTGCGCTTGAAGATCTGCCGCCGCCGGTTCACGAACGACGCCTTCTCTTGCAGCATGCGCATGCTCTGGGCGCGGTGCAAGATGCTCGCGCGCTTTTCCTTGTGGCTCGTTGCCCGCGTGGATGGTACCTTGTATTTGATGCTCGTGCGCAGATGGCGATCAACGTGGTCGAGCGTCGGGAGGATCTTGGACGTGGTTGAATTCATATGGAAGGTTGATGTCATGGGCTTGGGCACGAGGTCGATGCGCGTCGACGCGAGGTCCTTCTTGGACGTCGGCGCACTCGTGGCGTTCTCGCTGGGCGGCGCCGACTCGCGCCGGAACGACGTGATGACGCTGCGTCGCTTGACCGACGACGACTGCGTGTCCAGCGGCGTCAGCCGGTGTACCTTGGTGATGGCTATCGGCGGGTCCGCCGGTCCGTCGGCCATCCTCCTCGTCGCAACGCCCGGATCAACTATTAACGCCCGTCGTTACGACGATATATCGGCCCAAAATAGCTCGCCACATAATAATAGTGTCTCGACCTTAGCTCGAGTTGAAATATTAGAGCGCGCATCCCCGTAGTACCTACTCGCACAGGCCCAAAGGACGCCGTAAATACGCGAGAATCCCGTCGGCAGGAGGACTTGAACCCACAAGCGCGCGGCTGGAGCTTGCCTTTTTTGGAATGGGCGCCAATTTCGCGCCGGATACACGAATTGTCCGGATACGGGATTTCAAAGCTGCACTTGACCGCGGAGTTTCGATTCGGCGAGCAGGATGAGCGCCCGCAGCGCTGTCCGAGTCGAGGTCGATGGGCCCGAGGTGAAGGCCAAGCCTGCGAAGCGGTCGCCCCTGAGCGCGCTCTCGGTGAGCGACGTGAGCAACCAGGCCAAGCGGCCGCGCCTCGAGGACGCGCCGGTGAGCCCTGCCGTGAGCGAGCCCGCCATTGACGACGACGACGACGAGCGCCCCGACGAGGTCAATGCAGCCTGGCTCGACATGTGCTACGCGCTTTTGGCTCGGAAACGTGGCATGAAAGGGCTGCCGGCGGCCAAGCTCCCGGTGCTTGCCATCTCGACGGTCGCGATCGAGCGGCCCGCCATGGCATTGTCAGCAGCCGACATCGGGCCCGAGTCGCGGGAAGCAGACATTGAAGTGCTTGCTGAGCAGCTGCACAAGGAGAGCCATGCCTCGACGACGTGCTGCGGGTGCAAGACGGGCTGTCTCAAGCTGTACGATCTGTGTACTCGTACGCTGTGGAGCTCATGCGGTTGCATAGGTATTGCCGATGCTTTCTCACAAAAGGCTTTTGTACACCGCAATGCGGCTGTACGAGCTGTATGAACACACGAACATCGACCGATCGCCTCAGCGCGATTACAGCCCATTTGAAAAACAACATCCACGCCTTCCGATCCTCGACGGCGCCGGCGACCATGAGCCATGGGAAGCTCGGGCCCGCGCCGTCGGCCTCGATCCGCCACCAGTTTATTCCGCTCGTTCCAAACGTACGCGTCGGCGTCATGTCGATCCATAGCTCACGGCCACACTCTTAGGTCGGTGCGAACGCGATCACGTGTCGCTGTAAAAAGTCCAAGTGCTCAAAAAAGTACTGCGACTGCTACCAAGCCGGCGTGCCGTGCGGCCCCAAGTGCCAATGCCGCGACTGCTGCAACCATACGCCGCAGGAAACCAATGTCAAGCAAGTCCTCTACGCGCACGACACGATCAAGGTGCTCGTGACGCGCAAGCCACGGCAAAACACCATCACCAAGTCGGTGCGAGTACAACTCTAAGTCGCCACCTTCCTCATATATCTATATACAATCGGCGGCTCTTTACGTGCTTACGACGTTTCGCGCGAAATGAGGCGGCGCCACGTATTTTCCTGGACTTCGTTTTGGAGAATCTCGTAGATCTGCGTACAGCCTTCCATCGCTGTCGTCATGAGCGACTATGTCGCAGTATAAGACTTCGCCATATGCATCGCAACAACGTACTTCGAAAATCTCGAGCGGCAGTTTGCATTCCATTTGCACGAGCGTGAGCTACGAGATGGCGATGAGTGCATGGATGCAGGAGGATATGGGATACCTTGTCGTTGCGCGGGGTCAAGGCGACCGCAAGGTCGGGGCACCGGGCGTTTTGCTCGGTTTGGTTCAAGTCTATCGTACGGGCGTGAGCTATCGCGGCGTCGGACAAGCATCGTGTACCGCAGAGAAGCGTTTGCTGAATGTAGCCGGCCGAGCAGGCCACGACAAAGTCCTTCATGGCAATGCCAGCATCGACCAGCGCCAGCGTGACCGCGTTGATACACGCCGCGAGCTCGCCTAGATGCCGTCTATGAGTGCTGCAGACGCACAGCAACGACGTACCGCCATCGGCGTGGAGCACTTGCACAAAAATGTCGATCTGGGACCGCGGGTACAAATGAGTTGAGATGTTGGCCTCGAAAATCTGCAGAATCGCGAGCGATGTCTCGAGCTTCTTGCGGTCCGCCTTGTGCGTGACCTTGCGCTCGCTCGTCGCGAACGGCGCCTGCGTCACCTCGCACGTAACGCGCGCCTTGGTCTCCGCCGCCTCCTCGGCGGTCTTGCGCCCCGTGTGCTCCTTGGGGCCGTAGACGACCGCCATGACTTTGGTCTGGCCCTGCTCGACGTACGCAGAGCCGTCAACACGCTGGAAGAGACCGAACTTGGCGCGGACGCGGCGAACTTCGTTGGGCCGGCGGCCATCGACCCGGAGGCCCGCGACGCTCACAAACTCCTTCATGCTGTGATCCAATATGGCTGGCATTTTGATTGGACGCCGATGAAAATAGGACTTTCGGTCATATCCGAACACTAATGTCCTACATCAGGACATGAAGCCTGGGACAAGATGATGGCGTCGATCGAAGGTCGGCAAATCGGCCCGGATCTCTGCTTGGCCGCAACCAACACAATCCATGCGACCATCGCTTGGCGGCTATCGCAGCGCGCAGCTTGCACAAAGGTAGACATCCTCACACGCCGACGTTCGCTCTCGCGGTGCCACGCGTCGCCTCGCAGCTCGTTGCGCCAGCGATGACGATACACCTATTAGGAGGCAGCAGGAACGAGCCAGAGAGTGATGCGCATTTTATTGGCGCCGTGGGACAGGTCGACCGCCTTGATGCACATCAAAAGTGTGGCGATCTCCGCCGTCGAGAGCCAGGCCCACGCCGTGTTTTCTGCGTCCTGCGCTTCATGGAGACACTAAGATCTATATGCATCGGTACCGTTGGACGCGGCTGCTCGCAACGACCCCCCGTAAGCGCTTGCCCTTGGCGTGCGGCCATCGTCGGTGTGGGATTGGTCGTACGAACGGGCCAATCGCGGCCGCCCGTTTGCGTGTCAACGCGGTATCCGGATTTCGAGAACGCACCACGGACCAAGCGAGGTAATAAAATTCAGCGATGCGTGTCATCGAATAAAATTACGCGCTTCAACATGGTTGGTGGATGAGGTTGACACGCCGGGGCGCAGATATTCGAAGGATCGCGCGCCTCCTCGCAAGAACGTAGTCGTCGTGGTAATAATAATCGACGGGAAGGATCCCGACTTAAAAGTTATAATAGGGTCGTGGCGTCCGTGGGGTCTATCTAGTTGTTTTTTAGTGTACGGGTTGGTCCCGCTCGCGATGGAGGCCGAGGAGCGACTTGGCCGCGAGGATCTCGAGGTCTCGAAAGCCACTCTTGACGACCACGTCCTTGCGTGCGTCCGACCACGTGTCCGAATCGCCAGAGTCGCCGCTCGCCTCGGCGTCCGTCGGCTCGCGCTTCATGCGCTTGACCACTTTTTCGGGCACCGAGTTGAACCGGAAGCTGTCGTCTTCGTCCACAGACGCACTGCGCGGTGACGTTGGCGGTGACGATGGCGCAACGAACGTAATGTTGGACGGCACATCGAGCTTCGCGCCGCGCGGCCCGCCACGGCCTGTCGAGAGAAAGTTCTTGACTTCGACGCCCGACTGCCGCAGCACAGGCTGCCATAGTCGTTTCCGCGCGTTCGTAAACCAGTTGGAGAGCTGCTTGACCTCGATGCCGGCCTCGGCCGCGAGCTCCTCCTTCTCTTCCTCGCTCGGGTACGGGTGCGCAAAGTGCTCGGGCGAGAACATCCACGCCTTTAACACGTTCTTCGCCTCGGGGTTGAGCGTCCCTCGTCGCGTGCCCTTCTTGCGCTTCCCAAAGTCGGCGTCCATCATCTTGTTCTCGCTCGGGCTCGTTTCCGGGAACGGCGGCGGCGGTGTGTAGTGGAGTGGCGTCTCGCATGCCGCCGGAATCTTGAGTGCCGTGAGCTTCTTCTCGACCGAGATGTACGGTTCGAGCGCGCGCATGTGCGCAGCGTCGCGCCATGTATCGCACGTAGTCCCCGAGACTTTGAGTTGCAGCTGGCTCGGGTGCGCGGGCGGCGTCGGGCTCGGGCGTCGGGGCGGCGTCGTAAACTCGGTCGCTGGCGTCGGGCTCACGGGCCGCGTGTTGATCGTGTCCAGCGTGAGCTTGGTCGTTGTCTTGAGCTTGTCCATGCTGGTCTCCTGTGATGCGCTGTGGTCCGTGTCTCAAGCGTTCGCTAATCAGTTGAGTGCTTGATGGCTTTTTTGTGAGTGATTTGGAAACTGGGCAATAAAACACGTAGAAGATTACTTAGAGAGCTTTTGTATGGGCAATACGTTCGATTCGGTGCCTTTGACCACCGTCGCTCGCCCATCAGTGCGTACATTGTCCATTCGAATGTACGCCTCTACTTGCTCTTAGTATGCATGCGAGATTGTACGTGTACATTCGCCGTACGCACCACGTCCGGCCGTTGTGTTGGTTTCCCAACGTGTTCTGTTGCATTCACGCCACTCAACTACAAGCCGCAAGGTTTGTGTTTAAAACCTGTTCAAAACGTAATGTTCGATGTCTCATCGCTGTAACAACACCGTTCCTCTGCAAACCTTATATCGGCGGTGCCGCCCCTTCCGGCGCTGTGATAACCTTCGGCATGTCCGGAAGATTCGCTGATTGGCAAGTGAAAGGCCCGCGTTCGGAAATCGAAGGATCCCGCCGTCCGATGGCCATCAAAACCCGCCCTTCGATATCGAATGATACGCCTGCGAAGCGTCGGACACGCCGCGCGCGCCAAGATCGCGGGTCTGACGGCGTCCCGCGCTAACCTCGGCAGCCACGTCTCTAGCCTGCCGATGCATATAGCGTGCGCATCATCGCGACCTTGAAGCTGTGCCCATACTGTTCTTTTGGCGGTTGCCGCACCGGTCGTCCAACGGTACCCAATTCGGGCCATCCTGGCGGAGCCTGTCAAGAAAGCACCAACAGCATCGCATGCAGCGACGACTCGGTTCTTTGTTTGATGTCAAACGACGCGACTGTGGTGTCCTGTCAGCGAAGGCCGGTGAAGCGACGGTGACTAACACCACTGTACTTGAACCCGACTACACTTGTATATTCGAGAACACGAAATCATCCGAGAAGGCGCGGCGAGCCGAGTGTATTGGTGGCTGGACTTGGTCGCGTAGCCTTCTGTAATGTATAAGGCCTCGCTGACAAAGCAGCCTTCCTACTAGTATGACTTGGGAGGGCGCCCCATATCGGGTTCGATGCGTGTCATGATCCGTTGACTAGCATGCGTAGAGAAAGCGCGCGGGCAAGCTCGCGTGTCGTATCCGGCACCGTATCCGGATGGCTGATCCGGCGATCAAAGACAAGTTTGGACCCCACGAGGACGACGACGACGGGTATGGACTGGGCGAAGCTGCTATCGCCCCATCAAGGGACCGACTGGACCTTGGCGGAGGACGCGGCCTTGGCCGTCCAGCTCAAGCTCTTCTCGCAGACGCTCCTCGCGCGGACCAAGGCGCTCGAGAACTCGATCTGGGAGCTCGGACGGGACGCGGAGCGCGCAGACGTGCGGCTCAACAACTCGATCAACCAGTTCTTAATGCTGAGCGACAGCCAATTCATTGAGAACCGCGTGTACGAAGAAGAGGAAGACGATGTGGTCGTGGCACCGGCGGACGCGGACGGAGCGGCGCAGCCGACGAGCGACGACAAGCCGGTCGAGCCCGAGCCGGCCAAGGACGAGCCGGCCAAGAAGAAGGACATCCAGGTCGTCGATCAGTATCGGTACGCCCGTTGCGATGTACTACATGTGTCTGATGCACATGCGATTAGGGCGGCGCTGGAGATGGGCATGACCGCCATGAAGCTCTTCTCGGTCGGCAACGACGAGGACGACGATGTCGTCGACATTTACAACGAGCGTCCATTGCCGTTTGTCATTGGCACGAAGGAGTTTCTCGAGGATGAGTACTTGGGCCTCGGCGCGGCGCCCGACTCGGACACGGACGACGACGGCAGCGAGGCGTACAGCAGCTCGGACGTCTCGGAGAGCGAGGACGAGTCGGAAGAGGAAGAGTCCGAGTCGGAAGAAGACGGGTCAGACGAAGATGAATCGGAAGATGACGAAGACGAGGTGCAGCACGATAGCAGTGCACGCCCTCGACCGCCAATGCCGCCGATGCCGCCAAAGCCAGCGGCTGCCCACGTCGACGACTCGGACGACTCGGACGACTCGGAAGACCTTTTCGGCTTCAAGCCGTCGACGGCGTCCAAGCCTGCGCCGCCCAAGCGCGGTGGCCTCTTTGGCGTGGACAGCGACGACGAGAGCGAGGCGTCGGGCCACGATGGACACCACTCGTCGCTCTTTGCCGCCCAAGAAACAAAGACTGGTGACTTGTTTGACGGTCGTGCGGCGCCACCGCCAGCTGCACCTACGGCCCGCCCGCCCGTGAACGACCTCTTCAGCGAGCTCAAGGCCTCGGCCGCAGCCCGGCAGCAACCCAAGCCAGCGTCGACCGGCCAAGCGCTGTTTGGCGAAAGCGACAGCGACGCCGAATCGACGAGCAGCGGCCTTTTTGGCTGCCAGTCAACTGTCAACATGTCTCGAAAGGCGTCCCTTCCGCCGGCCACGAAACCAGCGTTCGACGTGGATTCCGACTCGGAGTCGAGCTTGTTTGGGTCCTCGCGTGCGCAGCCCAAGGCGCCGGTTGTCCCCGCACCAACGGCAGCGCCGTCCCTGCCGCCGCCGCAGCAATCGAAGCGACTCTTTGGCGACACCAGTGACGACGACGATGACTCGATGGGCCTCTTTGGCCGCCCGGCAGCCAAATCGACGCCGGCTGCGCCCGTCGCGGCACCGCCCGTGTCGGCACCCCCTGCCGCGCCAAAAAAACCGGCCATGTTTGACAGCGACAGCGACGACGACGACCATGGTGGCTTATTTGGCGCACCGAAAAGCAAGCCGACAAATGCGGCAGCTCCGATGGACACGAAACCGGCGGCCCCGATGGCTCCGGTGCCGCCACGAATGACACCGGCCGCCAAGCCAAACACCCTCTTTGGCAACGACAGTGATGACAGCGACGACGACGGCGGTGGCTTGTTTGGGGCGCCCAAGGCGGCGCCGACACCCTCGATTGCGGTACCGCCACCAAAACCTGTCGCGCCACAGCCCCCAGTGGTCTCGCAGCCCCCAGTGGTCTCGCAGCCTCCTGTGGTCTCGCAGCCTCCTGTGGTCTCGCAGCCTCCCGTGGTCGCGCCTGTGGCGACGAGGGCGCCGTCGAAAGCGTCCAACCTATTTGGCGGCTCTGATGACGACAGTGATGACGATGGTGGCCTCTTTGGCAAGCCGCCGCCGGCCAAGCCTACGATGGTCACAATCACCGAGACGACAACAACGACGACGACGACGACGATCGCGCCGCAGACGCGACTGCACAGTTTATTTAAATCCGACGAGGTCGACGCGAGTGCGTCAAGCGCGAGTCTCTTTGGGACGCCGCAGCGGCCGTCGTCGCGCAAAAACTTGTTTGCGCCCGAGCCCAAGACGTCGAGTACGCTCTTTGGCGACGACAGCGATAACGAGTCGACGGCCAGCGGCCTCTTTGGGTCGTCCAACAAGAAGCCGGCGCCGGTCGTCGCACCACCGGTGGTGGCTGCGCCAGCCGTCATTGTGCCCAAGCCGATCGCGCAGCCGCCCAAAGCGGTTGTGCCCCCGAAACAGGAGAGCGACGACGAGTGGAGCGACGACGATAGCAATGGTGGTGGGCTCTTCGGACGCGCGTCCTCGAGTCTGCAACCCAAACCTACGCCCGCTCCGTCCACGGCCTCCACGTCGAATTTGTTTGGCCAGCCCATGGCGGCGCCCGCGCCCCAGGCAAGCCTCTTTGGGGCGCCGTCGGCAGCGACACTGCAACCCGTAGCGTCGCTTCAGCCTGCTGCGTCGCTCTACTCTGCTGCCTCTCTGCAACCGGCGGCTTCCCTTCAAGCGGCGGCGCCCCTACAGCCTGCGGCGTCTCCACAGCCCGCAATGGTAGTCCAGCCCAGCAACACAAGTCTCTTTGGTCAACCGTTGACTGCTGCGCCGGCGCAAGCTAGCCTCTTTGGCGCATCGTCCTCGTCGAGTTCGCTTTTCGGGGCGGCGCCATCGTCGAGTCCGCCGCTGCCGACGGCCGCCGGGTCGTCCCTCTTTGGTTCGGCACCGTCTACTGGCCCATCGCTCCCAACTGCGACAAGCTCGTCTCTCTTTGGCTCGATTTCAACGTCGGGCCCACCGGCTCCCGCTGCCAGCAACTCTTCCCTCTTCGGTGCGGCTCCGTCGTCGAGCACGGCGTCCCTATTTGGCGCGTCGGCAAGTCCGGCTTTGCCGACGGCTGCGGGCTCTTCCCTCTTCGGCTCGGCGCCGTCGTCGGGTCCTCCGTTGCCGACGGCTGGAGGTGCGTCGCTTTTTGGTGCTGCACCAGCTAACCCACCGGCGCCGGCGACCTCGAGCCTTTTCGGTAACGCCAGTGCTGCGGCGCCAGCGACCACCAGTCTCTTTGGCGCAGCACCGGCCACGGCCAAGCCCGCCGGTGTAGCACCGCCGCCGCCACCGGCCGCCCGGCTCTTCAAGGCCGACGATTCGGACTCGGAGGGGTGGTCGGACGACGAGGCGTCGCTCTTTGGGCCACCCAAGAAAAAGTAGTGCGTTCTGCTATGCTCGTCACACACTTTCATTGCACGACGATAAAACATTCAAAGTTATGACGACTAATGTTACGAGTACAAACTAATCTGACATGGCAAGTGCACCGTGTCGCGTGGACATCTATGGTAGGCCACGACCGGTGCGACTTGGAGCTTCTCGGTGCTGTCGAGAACAAAGGCGACGCCAAGATCGTGCTGGTTGAGCAAGACGCGGATCGTCTTCTTGCTCCGGTCCAGCACAAGCGTGAGCATGTCCCCGTGGAGACACGTGATGTGGCACCCACTCGGCCCAAAGCTGGCGCTGTGCGGACCCCGTGCAACATGCACAAACCACCCGTCGTAGCTCGATTGTCGCTTTGTCGGACACGGCGTAAAGCCGACCGCGATGCTGCCTTCCACCTTGACGAGCCGCATGGCCACGTGGTCCATGCGGCCGTGGACGATCGCGTGCTCGAAGGCATATTCGTTGCCTTGGGACGGCGTCGAAATAAGCGTGCGCTTGTCGGCGCTCATGTTGAAGTAGCGGCTCGAGAGCCGTTGGGACCATAGCGCCGAGCCCTCGGTCTGCATGTACCCCACCGGCACGTCCCACGTGGCGAGCTTGTCGAGGATCCAGCGGACCTCGCGAGAAATGACGCCGCGCACATTCAATACGTGGTACAAGAGGACATTGATCGCTCGGACGTAAATGCGGTGCGGCGTGCGGTTGCTTATGTGCACGACGGCGGCGCCATCGGGCGCGATCGAGAAGGGCTCGGACAAAATGGCTTCGTAGAGGTCGCATTTGGGAAACTTTTGCAGCATGCTCGTGGGCACGTCCAAGGTCGAGCGATCATTCAACACAAAGCGCAGCTGCAGCGGGAGCTGGTCGAAAAGCGACACGTCGGCGCCGCCAAGCCACGCCGCCTCGACGCGTTGTAGCCGGGCGTCCATCGCGCGAGATCGTTCTTCGAGCAGCGCGAGGCGCTCTTCAAACGAGCTTGTTACCGATACAGAGGAAGCGCGCCGAGTGCGCTTGGTCCCGCGTGGCGCACGGTCCGTCGGGGCCATGCTGTCGGTCGTGCGTCGTGCCATGGGTCAATAATTTATTGACCCATGGTCGTGCAAAAGTGTGCCACAGAGAAATCGTCCCATCGATTGTATGTCACATAGTGGATCCAAGTAATATGCAATATGGTCAAAAGCACCGCCTCGGTATGGATACATGGCTTGTGGCAGCGCATCCTTTTATACAGGTCAACACCCATATGTATTAGTTCTTTCAGTCATCGAGTATTGAAATAAATGTATTGTGAAAGGTTTTAGCCGTAAAACGTCACGTGGCAGCCGTGCTGGACACGGAGCACGTCGATGCTGGGGCGGAGCCCAATCGACGGGAACAACGGCTGTCGCACGTGGCGTGGTTCGAGGCGAAACGCGACGTCAAGTTCCATTTGGTTGCGAAAAAAGCGCAGCCACAGCGTGTCTCGGTCCAGAAGGACCGTGAGGAGGTCGCCGCGCTCAAACGTCACGGGGCGTTGCTCCATGTAGTCGAATGCTTTGGTCGTATGGACGAGGTACGCTTTCTGAAAGGCTTGGACGTGGATGAACCAACCAGCAAAATTGCCGGGCTCGAGAGACGGCTCGCGGGGTCCCAGCCCCACAAGCACGCGACCACCAATGTCGCCGAGTACGACAGAGAAGCGTGTGACGGCGTTCGCACCGTACGCCCATTCAAAGTCGAGGTCATTTTCGTACAGAAGCGAGGCCGCCTTGTTGTTGTTGAGGAGCGCAATCTTGGCCGACGAGAGCGTGCCATCAAACGTAAAGAGGGTCGGCGACCGCTCAAACCACTTGATGCACCAAAACTTGAGCGTGCAGTGAAGCAGCGTCATGTTGGTCGCCGACAAGTCGCGCGTGTCGAGGTGCTTGTACAAGAGGTACTTGGTGATCCGGCCAAAAAGCGCTGGCGACAAATGCACCTGCAGTGCAAACACTGCCGCGCCCGTCTTGTCGATCGCGTACGGCTGGTGCAGCACGACCGTGTGAAAGTAGCTTGCCTCGTGCTCCAAGAGCGTGCTCGTAGGAAGATCAAATGACTTGCCGTCCACAACAAACGTGAGCATGCGCGGCAACGCCTCCAACCGCGCTTGGCGCGTCGCTTGCGGCAGTATGCCCATGGCGACGCTCCATGGCTTGATGAGATTGGCCGTCGCCTCCATGAGAAAGTCGGCGCTCACATACATGGTCGGCGGGAGACTCAGCCACGGCAAGAGGTTCGCCGGCATCAAATGACTCCCGGGAACACCAAGGGTCGTGCGCAATGCTGGTGGCGGCACCCCACTTGCCGGACGTATCGAAGTGGCGCGTGCTGGCTCTGCCGATGCGATTGGCGTTGAAGCGAACTGCACCGACGGAAAAGCAGGCACGAGGGCCGCACCGGACGGCGGCACATACGTGGCAGAGGCCGGCTGTGGCATGGCCATATCGCGGGCGCTCGGCCGCTCGATTTGGCCTCTCGTCGCCGCAGCAACTTGTGCCTCGAGCTCAGTGATACGCGACTCGAGGTACGCGTTGTAGCGGTCAAGATCGCGAAGTCGCTTCTCGAGCGCGGCAAGGCGCGACGCGTCGGCGTAGGAAGTTGAACTCGGCTCGTCGCGTGGAGGCTCCGCTAGCGATGCTTGTGCGTCATCGATTTCTGCGGTCGGCGTAGCCTCTGGTCCCGCCTGTTTGCGTGGTGGGCGGCCTCGCCCTCGACCTTTCTTGCTTTGAGGCGAGGTATGGAGTGCCGAGACTCCAAGCGGAGCCGCTCTGGACCTCGCGGGGTATCGGCGCTCTGTAGGTTGCTCTTGCAGCGCGGTTTCGATTAGCTGCGCGCCTGCGCTTGGTTGTCGCGGCTTATCGGCGCTTGGGCTCGTTGTCTTTCGCCGCCGGTTCGTGGCGAGATACCCATATTGAGGCTTAAGCGGAATTGTGAGCGTGGGTCGTCCAGCCATCGCGCTTGCGTCATCGTCCGAGAACCTTGAATATGCTGATGCGACAGGCATCTCCTGCGCCGGCAGCACGCGCTGTGGGCGACCACGCTTCTTTTTGGGCGGTGAAGGTGCTAGCTCGCGTCGTGGGCGACCCCGCTTGCGAGTTGTCGTCGTTGGGGCCGATGCAGCTTCGAGCGCAATGGCCGTGGCTGCGCTGCGCGGAAGCTCTTGCATCGGCTGTCGCCTTGCTGCTACCTCGTCGCTACCGGTCCCGGGCACCCCGTCGACGTCCATACCGGCTCGCAAATGGACCGTCGAACTTTGTGCATGGGCCATCATGTCAAAGTACTTGATGTTTGTATGGAATACAACAACCGAGGTCTGAACGATGTCAAGGCGATACGGGGCATACGTTAATCAAGAGAAAGGTTTCGAAGTCGAACAACACGTTTCACGGTATCTTGTTGGTCTATGGTGCCCACGTGAAGTCGAGCATGGAGCCGCCGCCGTCCGCTGTCCGCCCGCCGGACGTGCGTCATGCTGCGTACGAGTCGCGCATCCAGGACCTCCTTCTCCTCGTCGAGATGAACAAGAAGGTCGCGGCCGAGGCGCTCAAGTGCAGCTCGGCCACGGCGCAGAAGCTCGAGGACGTCACCATGTACCATCACGCCCAAGTCGCCGTGTGGCGAGGACGTATGGAAGCCTCGTTGCGGCAGCGCCGGCAGCAGCGCTGCAAAGCCAGCGTCTTTGCGACCCTTGTCCAGCATCAACGTCGGTACCAGCAACTCCGCCGTCTTGTCGCGCTTCTGCACCACCACAGAATGCGGCAGGCGTGGCACCGGTGGAGCATGCTGCTGCAGCGCCCAGGCATTGCAGTGCCATCAGTTCAGTGGCCAATGCAAGCGCTCTTTCTGCGATGGCGCAACCATTTCCGAAGTCGCCGGCGGCTTCGACGGCTCTGGACACCCATCTTGCGACGCTTTTACGAACGACGGCTTGCGCAAGCCCTGGTGCGGTGGCGGCTCCAGGCCAAAGACGAACAGCTGCAAATCTGGATCGAGTGCCTCAAGGGAGCCAATGTTGCCCTGGAGGAACAGGCCAAAGCGTACGAAGATGCGTTTGCCGAGACGCAAGCCGCCCACACCCGCGAGTACGCCATCGAGCAGCGCCGGTACCGCCGTCTCGACCAAACCAACGAGGTGTGCCTGACATTTCGACGGTGGGTCGGTCTCTGTCGCCTTCGGCATCGACGCGCCGACCTCGTCGCGTACCGTCATCGCCTGCAGCAGCAGCAGCTGCAGCGCACGGTCCTCGCACAATGGCAGCGCGTGCACCAACGTCAGCGCCACGCCACACAACTGGTGCGCGTCGTCCGTCAAAGCCGCGTGCGACGTCTGTTGAACCACTGCTTTCGCGAATTGCGGTGGTCGGCCGACCAAGTGCGAAGATTGCGACGTCTCTGCTGCCGGCGCTATCGCAATCACTCGCGCCTCGCCTGGCAGCGCTGGCAGCACAGTGTGCACGCGCGCGGGACGTACACTGCGCTGCAAGAGAGCCTCGTGGTGGTGCACGCCGACCATCGGCTGGCGCTAAAGAGGCTGCAGGACGCGCGCTCGATCTTGTCGTCGCACATGGCCACGCTCGTCCACCGCTTCAAGGCAGCAAGCGTGCGCCAGCGAAGCTTCATGCAGTGGAAGCGCATTCTTCTTTGCCGTCGTCAGCTCCGAAGTTTGTGTGTCGTCTACCAGCGCTCGGTGCAGCTCCATCTACAGCTTGCGCTTGCACGCTGGCACCGACACACGACCGTCGCGCGCTCGACACAGCGGTGGTTGCTCCGTGATCGACGGGCGCATGGACGTCGGCGGGTTAAGCGGCTATGGGCGGCGTGGGTGCGCCATGCACAGTGCGGTCGCCGGCGCAAGCAACGGCGCTTCCTCGCCGCCAGTGTGCTCTACATGTGGCGGCAGCACACTCGCACTTGTCAAGCACAGCGGGTCGGCGCACAGCATATTCTGCATGTTCTCTTGCGAGCCCGCTGTCGCCACCGGTTCGCACAGTGGCGTCGACAGCACGCCCACCAGGTCCGACTTCGGTCGTTTCAACGTAGTCAGCGCCGGCGCCATCTCTTTGTCCTCTTTCGCGCTTGGAATCGCTACGCGGTTTGCCGTCGCCGGCTCGAGAAGCACACGTGGCGTCTCTGGATGCAAAAGCGGGACGCACGGCGCGACGCCAAGACCAAACGCCGGTGCTTTCGGCTCTGGCACCTCCGCGTTGAGCAGCAGCACCGCGTATCGCGGCACGTCGAGCTCTACCAAGTCCAGCGGTACAACCACAACGCCAAGTACCGCGTTCATATGCGGTGGAAGCAGTGGTTTCTGCGTCGACGGGCGATTCGGAGAGCCCTTCAACGTGTGTTGCGGCGGTTGCTCACGTTGAAGCCACTGGCGCGCGCGCTGGTGCAGTGGAAGCGACATCGCTGTGGCCTCCACGCACAGCACTCTCTTGTGCGCGGGACCCGGTCCATCGCACAGCGTTTTTGGTTCAAGTACCTTAGCGATGCCCAACGCACGCTCTTGCGCCTCTGCTTTTGTGGCTTGCGCGCCTACCGATGGCGGGCCGAGTACCACGGCCGGCTTGCGGCGCACGCAGCCGCGCGGCACGGACACTGGAACACGCGACGGCACTTCCTGCGCTGGCATGCGTTCTATAGCCGCGGGCGCCATCGGCGGCAATGGCTGCGTCATTGGTGTGCGTCACGCCGACCACGCATGGCCAAGTGGTTGGCACTCGAACACTGGCGGCAGTGCCTCTGGGGCGACCGTGTTCGGCGACTCGAACGTGGCGCGATGCAATCTCAAGCCAAGTTGGCGACGCTTCTTTGTGCGCAGCAGAGCCACCAGCATCTGCGCGTCGTGTTGCAAGTGTGGCACCGCCATATGCACCGAGACCGACTCGGACGCGACACGCTGCGGCGACTCCTACACCGCCGCTACGTGGTGCGGCTGCGTTTGGCGTGGTTGGGTTTGCTCACGATCCGCCCCATCACCAACGCCCGCGCCATGGACCGCTGGCTCGGTCAGCGCAGTGCGCGGCGCGCACGGCTCGCGGTTCTGGGCACTTGGCGGCGAAAAGTCGTGCACCGTCGACGGGTGCAGCGGCTCCTCTTGCGTCTCGTCGTGGCGATCGAAGAGCGTGCTGCGCGCTTTGCGTTTGTTCAGTGGCGACGCGCGTCCCATGGATTTCAAATCAAGTACCAGCGCTACGTATTCACGTCGTACATCTACACTCGCCTGGCGCGGCAAGCGCGGCTTCGCCGACTCAAGCTCCTCTTTGCCCACTGGGCGACGTACCATGATGCCCACACGGTACCGTCGTAAGTGTGGAGGAGAATGTGTTTGAGAATACGCATATGTAGCGCGCGCGAGCCAAGTACGAGGTGCGTGCGATCACGTGGCGAGCGCAGTGGCAGCGCCGTATCGTTCAAACATGGAACGACCGGGCGGGATGCTGGCGCCGACAAAGACAAATGCTACGACGCCTTCTTTCCGCTTGCACGATGCGCCGGACGCAAGCTGCATGGGCGCATTGGCTACGAACTATCCACGCCGCGCGACTGGTGCAAAGTTGGCAAGACGGTGTCGACGCTGCCCGGGGTGTCAAGACCGCGCTAGCCGACGCCAAGATTCACGCGTGGCGCACACGCCTTCTCCAAGACCACCTCTGGATGTGGAAAGCTGTGACGGTGACGCGACGCGACCGCCTCGTGCTGGCGTGGAGAGAGTGGCACGACGTTTGGCAGCGCCGGCGTCTGCAGTACCGCGCCACTACGCTGCGTACGCAGAGTGTCCGTTTCCACTGGTGGCGGCGCCTCGTGCTCGGTCGCGGCTACGTCCGCAAAACATTATTGCAGGTCGCGCGTCGCTGGGCGCAACACCGCCTACGGCTCGGCTTCAACAGTTGGCTTCACTGCCTCCGCCGCACCATCCACACCGAGTGCCTCCACCGCGTCATGGTGATCCAAGCCATGCTCGAAGCCACCGAGTGCGAGAATAGACGGGAGGCAACGCTACGCCCCCTCCTGCACCACTGGCGACGAAGCGCCCGCGCGCAAAAGCTCGGTCGCAAACAAGTTCGCGAGCAGCGTCAGCAGCTTGTAAGGACTCTGTGGCGCTACTGGAAATGCCGGGCTCGGACGCGACGCATCGCGATGGGCAAGGCACTGCGCTGCCGTTGGCAGTTGTCAGCGTCGGTCGTGGCGATCTGGCGAGGCTTTGCAGCGAAGCGAGTCGTCGCCCGGCAACGCCTCCGTCGCCTCGGCGCGCTGTTGTCGCGCAAGCACCTCTACCGTGTGTGGTCGTCGTGGCAGACCTTCCTTCGCGACGCTGATGGACGCACTGCCAAGTTGCTTCTGCAAGCCGAGATTGAAAAGCGTCGCGCCGACGACGCACTGCGCCAAAGCCGCATTCTGCAGTACGTTCACATGGCATGCAGCGCCCAAGGCTTGCAGCTGCTTGCGAAAACCGTGGCTGCCTGGAAACAAGCAGCAACGACATCCAAAGCACACCGACGCCGCGCCAAGCGCCGGCGTCTGCACCACTGCTTCCTCACGTGGGCGTCCACCGTCGCCATCCAGCGTCATCAATGGCTGCAAGCAGCGTGGCGCGGCTGGTGCTTCGGTGTTCATGCGGCTCGGATCCAGCGACACCTCTTGGTGCACGTGGCAGCTCGGCACCTCAAACGTCAAAGTGTCGCCCTCCTGCGTCGCATCTGGTCGAGTTGGCGAGACGTTCTCCATGCTTATGAGAGGCAGGTCGCGGTGTGTTGTCGTCGCTACGAACGCCGCCTCGTTGCCCGCTGCATGCGCCACTGGCGCGCCTCGACAACTGCCGCCGGTCATCATACCATGTCGGCTCTACGGCTTGTGTTTCAACAGTGGAAGCAGTACCACCGCCTGACGACGCAGTGGGCGGCCAAGCAGGTGGTCGCCGCGCGCCATGCGAGCATCCTCATGCATTGGCGATCGCTGCGGTCGCCGGCGACGATGCTTCAAACGTGCTTGCTCGCATGGCGCACGGATGTCTTTGGTCCCCGAGAGCGACTCCACTGGCGTCCAGATGCGCTGGAGCACGCCGGCGCGACACTCGTGGCCAGTGTCGCGACGTGGTTCGACGCGTACCAAACCCACTGCGTGCTCCAGCGCTGGCGGTCGCATGCCTCCGCTCGAAAAGAACACCGCGCGCAGCAGCTCGCTCACATGACAAAGCGGACGCATATCCAACGTCTCCAAGCTGCATGGACATCCTGGAAGGTACACCACGGGACGTGGAGCACGGCGCGGCGCGTGGCGCAGCTCTGGCGTGTCGGTCAAGCCAAGCGCGTTCTGCTGCGCTGCTTCCACGCGTGGACGGCACTGGCTTCTGCGCAAGTGGCCCACCACAATGCGCTGCTCGGCCTCACACGCTGGGTACGGCGAACGATGCAGCGCCGGCACCTCCTCCTCTTGTGCCTGCACGTGTGGCGGGCGAGTCTGCCGGCACGCATGCGCACGACCGACGTCGGGACCACTTGCGATATACCGACACCGCTACCGTCCACAGCACTGACGACGCTCGTAACGCTTGTAGACCGGTGCGCGACGTTTCAACGCCGGCGCGCCAAGGCGGCCTTCTGGAACTGGTATCTGGTCACGCACGACCACGGAAGCGACACCGTCGCCGTCGACGTCGACGTCGGCGCACGTCTTGCCCACACGCTCCTCTTGCGGAGCAGCAGCCATGTGGACCGCAAAAAGCAGCGGCAGTGGCTCATGCACTTCTTCACGCAGCAGAGCCATGCGAATTTGCTGCGACGGAGCTTCGAAGGCTTTAAGCGGTGCCACTCGATCGCGGTCCGATCGCATCGGCTCGACAGCCAAGCGCAGCTCGTGCTCGTCCAGTGCCTCCAGATCATTGGCCAACTCCACGTGCGTCGGCGGTTCCACCAATGGAAGTCGGCGTACATTGCGCTCGCGCTCGCCCAAGCCCAGGAGGAGCACGCGGTGCTCATGGACGCTCTCCACGACATTGCGAAATACCGCCATTCGTTACTGCCCTAAAGTGTATTGGCCGAGACATCAAAGGTTGCAACGAGCGGTCGATGGTCCGACACCATGCGCCAGTAGTCGACCATCTCGTGCTGCGGCCGGGGCACGACCCACTACTCCATTTGAGACACGCTCGGATATGCATCTATATGTCATGTACCTCGTGCTCGTCCCACGGCTCGCCTTGGATAAACTCGGGTCGTTTCAGCCGCGTCGTGTCGGGGAGGCCGCGCGGGAGGAGGTCGCAGCCCGTGGGCTTGAAGACGAGGCGCTTCTCGCCGTGGAGAAACGGGTGGTCGGCCTCGGGGATCGGCTGGAACGCTTTGAACGGATTCGAGCAAAAAATAAAGTCGACGCCGACCTAGATCCGCTCAGAACTGAGAGCTCGTCGCGCACGTACCTCGCTGTTGTTGTGGTTGCAGTGTGTGATCTTGGCTTCGCGGCCATGGACGTCTGAGAAGACGGACCGGAACCCGTTCTCGAGCACGAGGTTGTGCACGGGGTCGTAAATGTCGTTGAAATCCCCGCACATGACGACCGGGCAGTTCTGCAAATGCTCCTTCGCCTGGTACGCGTGGATTGCGCGGAGCACGGTCTGGATCTGGGACATGCGCATGACGCGGTTGATGTCGCTGTGCGGAAACGTCAGATGCGTGTTGACGAGCAGGAACGACTAGACAATCAGCATGAGCTATCCAAGTCGACCAGGACGCGAGCGTACCCGCTCCATGAATGAGTGCGTGTGCGTCTCGAGGAGCGTCGGCGGAATCGAGAGGTGCATGAGCATTGCGACGCGCTCGCCCGCCTTGTCAAAGTCGAGCTGCGTGTAATTGTGGAGCGTGATCTTGCTGCTGTCAAGAAACACGGCGAGGCCATCTTCCTTGAGCCCTGGCCGCTTGGCGAGGTGGCATGTGAAGCTCGGAAAGTGGCTCTCGAAGCGCTTCATGTAGAGCTCGTCAAAGTAGTACTCTTGGAGGCAGAGGATGCTCGACTTCTCCGCCTTCATGGGCGACACGAGCGCCTCTAGCCGGCGCATGTACAGCGACGCGTCCGTGGCCTCGAGCCGCCCGCCATGGCGGAAGTAGCATGGCGCCAGGAGGTTGAAGCTCAGGACGCTCAGCCCATCGAGCTTCCTTCGCATCGCGTCCGATTGACGGTCCAAATTCGACAATCTTCGTTTTCGACCGCCGGATAATAATGTGTCCGGATACACTTTTGGAACGGCCGCCTTGAACTTCAAAAAGTGAGCGTGCACCGGTTTGGAACGGCCGCGACGTCATCGCGCCGTTTGATTCGACGCCAAGTGCCAGCTCGGCCATTGCTGGCGCGCACGTGTCATCGTCACGCCGGTTGTATAGCCCAGCCCTGTCCCGAAGGGCTTCAAAAGGGCTAGTGGGCTATATAAGTATATAGCAAGACAGTCGTTAGCTGCGTGCTATGCTGTGTGTGCACGAACTTGGCCACCAACTGCGCGACAAAGTCCATTCGTCCGCTATCGCACGCGTGACGTCCGCCGTGGTCGCCGCGCTGTTAGTTGATGCTCGCGCTGTTGCTGCTTCGTGGTACGACCAGGTAATCGACGTGTAGGTCGCTGGGCTGGCTGGCGACGACTGCGATCAACAGTGCATGTACATTCGGCCCATCCCTGAAGGTCCCTGGTAGAGTACACTGCTTATTGTGGTCCTTGAAAGAGCGACGACTCGTTCGCAATGGTCGACATGAGAAGAGGTGGTCGTCGTGCGGGGCAACCCAGTGCGAGAGAGCTGTGCGAGAGGATTGCCGAGCGCCTATTGGAGCTGCAAGTGTGATGCGCAGCTGCGATAGATAGCAAACACGTGGCCCCTTGGTGCTTCAAGTGCAGGAAGCTCGCGCTGACGCCACCGCTCGTCGCAGACGCCCTCGGAGAGAAGGATCGACTGCCGTCGGTCACGACTGCGACGCCGCATTCTTGAAGCACTTTGCGACATCGGTCGCGCGAACGAAGCCGGCGTCCCAGCGAACGCTTGCTTTGTCTCACTCCTCAGGTCGGGTCGACGCCGTTGGACTGCATGTGCAGACAGCGCACCCATGCACGCGGTGGTGACACATGACCCACTCAGAAACGACACGCAGTTACTCGCGCTGTCAATGTCTCTTGGTTCGTGTCAATCCACCCTGCTACCCAGCTCGCCTCGATTCGAGGTGCTCGTAGCATGACAACGACCCTAAGAATGGCTCGTAATAAATCGAATTATTAGTATCAATTCTCTTTATTTAATTCAATGGGAGCGCCGTGGTTGAACGACGTCGATATATATAGATACAACTGTCAAACGCGCGAATAAGATAGGGAATAAAAAAGCACTACGCGACCATGGTGCCACGCATGTTGTACACGGTACTGCTCGGCGTCGACGGCGACGACTGGAACTGCAGTCGGAGGAGCGTGCCCGTGAGCGGCTTGGTCTGCACGACCATGCTGTGGCCGTGCTTGGCCTTGAGCGCTGGCACGACGAGTTTGAGGAAGCCTTCGAGCACGACCGGGTGGAGGCACTGGAGCTCGATCGGCTTGAGGCAGTTCGTGGGCTTGTGCAGTGCCGCATCCAGCCACCGGTGCAAGGACGCGACCTTGGTCTCGCTGCCTTGCGCCCAGTCGCGGCACAGCCGGTTCCACGGATCCGACCCGAGCGTGTATGGCAGCAGCGCTTCGGTGTGGGCCATGGTCTTCCACGACGCTTTTGGCGTTGCCATTGGCTCGTCGAGCAGCGACGCCTGGATCTGCATTGTGTCGTCGAGGCGCTCGTGGATCTCGGAGAGGAGGCGGACGATCGTTTGCTGAATTTGGTGCGACACGATGATGGACGACGGGACTTTCTGGCTGCCGTCCGTCTTGCGACCGGAAAAGACGACGCGCATGACGCGGAGCAGGATATGGAATGACTTTTCCATGCCTTCAAGCGACTCTTGCAGCGGGTGCGTACTGCCACCAATGTTCATGTGCCGAGACGAGGACGACGAGTGGGCCGGCGACGGCAGCGCATTCGGGCGCGGCGTCGTCTTGGGCGACGGCGCCGCGAGGCCTTTGATCGGACGGCTCGGGCGCGCGGGCGTGACGGCCGGCGACGGCTGCGCGTATTGGACGTTGGTTTTGATCGCTTGCAGCTGGTCGAAGACCGCAGCGCGCAACTTTTCGTGCTCGTTCATCCACGCGTTGATGTCCTCGGTGGGCTGTTCGTGGAGGACCTCGAGGCCGTCGTAGAGGCTCGTCATGGGCAAGTTTGCGTTTGGATCCACGAGCTGCGCCTTGATGATTGCGATCTTGGTCTCGAGCATGTGCTGCTGCTCGGCGAGCGACTTGGCCTTGGCCTCGTAGAGCTTGAGGAGGCAGCGGCGCCACCAGCGTTGCAGTTGAATAAGAGCCATCGTTGTGATTGACGGTGCAAATCGGTGAATGCCGCGAGCGTTGACACGGTGTGTGAGCGCCAACGCATGTCCCACACGTGTGTAGCTCTTTGAACTGACGGGAATGGGCAGCTTGCGTCAAACTCCTAACCGGATGCTTCAAGAACGTGCAGCCAATGAGTAACGAGGCGGTTTCGCAAGTGAAAGGGCAATTTCGGTATCCGGATAGGCGCGTCAACTCGCGGAACCGACTGTAGTGATACTCACAAGGGCACGATCCCACGCTGCGTTGATGCATGTTGAGATTACGAGGTGCATGCGAAGCATCCGAAGCTTCTAGCGTTCAGTGCAAAGCGCCGTGCAGTCTGCAGCGGTCGCACGCGAGCCATCTCGCCAGCTTGAACCCACTCGCACTTCAAGAAATGGGCGCGTATCGCCAGCTTGGTGCACGCACTGATGCCAGAATTCGGGAGCACGAGAGGCCTACGGCAGGGGATGCGGCGGAGAATCATGCTCTGCTGCACGCATTTTGGGGATGGCGTTCGTATGTATGTGGGCATGTCTGAGAAGATCCTGCCTTGGTGCTGGCTCCCTTCGTTGCGTGCTCACGTACATGTCGTTTCACCGAAACGAAGAACGAGTGGTGTGTGGGTTGAACGAGCCGGTGTAGGACGACCATACACTCTGCGCTGGCTACTTCACTGCACGAAGGACACTACTTTCTTGACAACGCCAGTCGCGCACCTGCACGCAACTCGATTTCGCAAAGGCAGGTGGTTTGCGACCACCGCTTGGAAGATGCCCGACGGTCTCTGCACCGCTTCCATATTTGCCACACGCGTTGAAATGGCCTGTGCCGCTTCGGTGGCGAATCCTGCTGCCACTTTGGCGCCGCGTCTTCAAGATGAACCGCACCGACGTCCGCTTCTCGGCTCTCTCGTGTCTCTAGGGTGCCATTGAGCAGTGCCATGAATGACTCTTGTAGCCCAATGGGTACCTCCAAGCTGCGATTGACGACGCTCTCAGCGTCTTGAGGCATCAGGTCAGGATGCAGCTATTCTTTGATTGCGAGCGTATCCAGGATTATCAAAACTCAAAGCTTCAAGACTTTGCAAGCATGACCTCATGTGCGAGCACTACTCGTACTCGATCGAGCTGCACACTCGAGCTCCCTCGCTGGCCTTCAGCTGCTGCTTTCGCACTATACCTTGACAGTCGTCGAGCGCACCAACTACAGCGCTCGTGCGCGCACTCCCAGCTGCCGCATCAGCGAGCGCCTCGCTGCAGTCGCCCATAGCACGAGCTCACCAGCTCGCTTGTGAACCTCGCCAATGCGCCAAAGGCTGGCTGTGGACCGTCTTGGCGGGTGCAAAGTCCATTCTGATTGGCTCGCGCATTGCATTCCATTGCGATGCGAGCGCTGATTGGCCAAAATGTTGCTGTCGCTTCTATGACGCCCGAGGGCGGCGCGGATTGGTTGAAATTGAAACCCCAGATTTACTGGTTTCCTGGGTGCATCGATGTTCATCACACTTCGATTCGTCTTGCAGCATGCGCTTCCTCACCGCGCTGCGCCGCCCGTCGGTCCTGTCGCGCCACCTCCGCGCCGCTGGCTTCGCCGCGGACGCGACCAAGGCCACGCCCAGCATGGAGCTCTATGACAAGTTCCCGCACCCCGCGGGCTTCATGGACAACCTGCGCAACATTGGTATCTCGGCCCATATCGACTCGGGCAAGACGACGCTGACCGAGCGCATCCTCTTCTACACTGGTCGCATTAACGCGATCCATGACGTGCGTGGCAAGGACGGCGTCGGCGCCAAGATGGACTCGATGGACCTCGAGCGCGAGAAGGGTATCACGATCCAGTCCGCGGCCACGTACGCGACGTGGAAGACGTCCAACATCAACATCATTGATACGCCGGGCCACGTCGACTTTACGATCGAAGTCGAGCGTGCGCTGCGTGTGCTCGATGGCGGTATCCTCGTGCTCTGCGGTGTCTCGGGCGTCCAGTCGCAGTCGCTCACGGTCGACAAGCAGATGAAGCGCTACGGTGTCCCGCGTATTGCGTTCATCAACAAGCTCGATCGCATGGGTGCCAACCCGTGGAAGGTTGTCGGCGACCTCCGCAAGCAGCTCAAGCTCAACGCGGCCGCTGTTCAGATCCCGATCGGCGCCGAAGACGCCCTTGAAGGCGTCGTCGACCTTGTCAAGATGCAGGTGTACCGCCACGAAGGCCCGAGCGGCGAGACGATCGTCGTCTCGAGCGAAATCCCGGAAGAGCTCAAGGAGCTTGCGGCGGCCAAGCGCCAGGAGATGATCGAGCGCCTCGCCGACGTCGACGACGAGATTGGTGAGCTCTTCCTCATGGAAGAAGAGCCGACGGTCGAGCAGCTCCAGACCGCGATCCGCAAGGCTACGATCGCGCACAAGTTTGTGCCTGTTTTTATGGGCTCTGCCTTCAAGAATAAGGGTGTCCAGCCGATGTTGGACGGCGTCCTGGACTACCTCCCGTCGCCGCACGAGAACGAGAACCTTGCGCTCGACCAGTCCAACAACGAACAGCCCGTGGTCGTCCCGTGCTCGCCCGACGCGCCGCTTCTGGCGCTTGCGTTCAAGCTCGAAGAAGGTCGCTTTGGCCAGCTCACGTACATGCGCATCTACTCGGGCACGCTCAAGCGCGGCGGCTTCATGCACAACATGTCGAACGGGAAGCGCATCAAGGTGCCGCGCCTCGTCAAGATGCACTCGAACGAGATGGTGGACGTCGACGAAGTCACGGCCGGCGAAGTCGTCGCCATGTTCGGCGTTGAGTGTGCGTCCATGGACACGTTCTCCGACTCGGGTGCCAACAAGCTCACGCTCACGTCGCTGCACGTGCCGGAGCCGGTCATGTCGCTCGCGATCATCCCCAACAACAAGCAGAACCTCAACAACTTTTCCAAGTCGCTCAACCGTTTCCAGCGCGAAGACCCGACGTTCCGCGTGCGCGTCGACGACGACTCGAAGCAGACGATCATCTCGGGCATGGGCGAGCTCCATTTGCAGATCTACATTGAGCGCATGAAGCGCGAGTACAGCGTCGAGGTCGAGTCGGGCGCGCCGCAGGTCAACTACCGCGAGACTGTGCGCCAGAAGGCCGACTTCAACTACCTGCACAAGAAGCAGTCGGGTGGGTCGGGCCAGTACGCCCGTGTCACGGGCTACGTCGAGCCAATTTCGGACGAGGAAATCGAGGCCGGCGAGGCCCCGGTCCAGTTCCAGAACGACATTATCGGTAACGCGATCCCGCCCGAGTACATCCAGGCGTGTGAGAAGGGTGTCAACGACGCTGTCGCCAAGGGCTGGCTCCTCGGCCACCCGATCACGCGCCTCCGCGTCGTCATCACGGACGGCCAGGCCCACGCAGTCGATTCGAGCGAACTGGCTTTCCGTACGGCCATGGTGCAGGCCATTCGCGCGGCGTTCACGAAGGCCAACCCGAGCGTGCTCGAGCCGCTCATGACGGTCGAAGTCGACGTCCCGAACGAGTTCCAGGGCGGCATCATCGCCGAACTCAACCGTCGCCGTGGCATGATCCAAAGCAGCGAGGCCGACGAGACGACGACGGTCATCCGCGCCGACGTGCCGCTTCAAAACATGTTTGGGTTCTCGACCGACCTCCGGTCGTCGACGCAGGGCAAGGGCGAGTTCACGATGGAGTACAAGACGCACGACTTTGTCGCGCGCGACGCGCAAGAGAAGCTCGTCGCCGAGTACCAGAAGGAGCTCGCTGCCAAGAACAAGTAATTAAACGCCAAGTAGATAGAAAATACCACCACGCAAATGCATCATTTTGCTTGTGATTGACCGCTCTGGACCACGTCACGGACAAGAGGCATACTAACATTCGATAAGGACCTCGTACACATGAATCAAAGCTGGAGACTCGAGCGAAACAGCCGCCGCAGGTCATTCCATGGCCAGGTTTGTGGTAAGAAA